TAATTAAGTATTTATACTTTTTCCTTTTAATTAAATCTTTTAATTAATTTGTTAGTAGCTCTAGTTCTTGTAACTTTGTTTTGTTAGCATTGTCAACTTTGTCAACTATATACATGGGCTAACAGTGTTAGCAGAGCAAAATTAAGAATTTAATGAAAGAAAAAAGTTGTATAGATGTCAAATTAAAAATTGAGGCAAGGCATAAATATCTACAAAATGGTTTTCCCTTTCACGTAAAATTTTATTAAAAATATTTCCAACCCATTTTTTTTTTACCAGAATATTTCCAACCTATTGAATATTAAATTGATGAATAATATGATATTAATGCATGACATGACATCCAACATTATCTTGATTTTGAATTTTTGATTATTCTAATAATTTAGGGGAAAACTATAGGGGAAATGGCAAATAAAGACCCTTGAAAATATAAAATGGCAATTTGGGTACTTCAATTCATAAAATTGCTATCAGAGACCGGGTCCTAGATTGCAATTATGAAATGAAGCCCAAATGACTGACTAAAATGCCCTTCCTTTTCTCTTTCTTCTTCGGCACCCATTTCTTTCTTTTTCCTTCTTCTCTTCCTCTCTCTCTTTGTCCTACTCTCCTCTCTCTCTCTCTCTTATGATATTAGAAACGTAAATTTCTGACTTCCTTTCTCTCTCTCCCCCCTCTTTCCTTCTTCTACTCTCCTTCGACTTCATTCTTCTTCTTCAGAACCGTGACGTTCTTCCATGTTTTTCCCAACCCATTGATTTGCAATGGGAAAAATGAAAACATGTTAACTGTGTAGCTTCCATATTTAATTTTCTGCAAAACATGTAATGCTAATAGCCTAATATAATACTCTTCATATAAAAACTCTCATTCTCCATAATCTCTCTTTATTCTACAATCTCATCTCCTATTGATATACTCGAATTAACAACTATTACCTCCTTTCATTATAAAAAACTGGTTGTTGTCAAAGAATTCTGGAAATTATCATTTACAAAGAGAAATGTAAACTTGTATAAAAATCTTATCAGAAGTGATAAGTTCACTATGATAAATGACAAGCTGAGTATGGTAAATGACAAGTTCTCATAAAGTTTTCATACAATTTCAAATTTCTCCATTAAAATGACTGAATTTCTACATTGATTTACGAAGTGACAAGTTTACTATGGCAAATAACAAGTTGAGTTTGGCAAATGACAAGTCCCAATAAGGTTTTCATACAATTTCAAAAAAAAATGAATGAATTTTCACATTGATTTATGAAGTGACAAGTTTACTATGGCAAATAACAAGTTGAGTATGGCAAATGACAAGTTCCCATGAGATTTTCATACAATTTCAAATTTTTTCGTTAAGATGACTGAATTTTCATATTGACTTACGAACTGACAAGTTTACTATGGCAAATGATAAGTGAGTTTGGCAAATGACAAGTTCCCATCAGGTTTTCACACAATTTCAAATTTCTCTGTCAAAATGATTGAATTTTCACATTGATTTACGAAGAAGTAACAAGTTTACTATGACAAATGACAAATTGAGTATAGCAAATAACAAGTTCCCATAAGGTTTCATACAATTTCAAATTTCTCTGTTGAAATTAAAATTTGCAGATTTCTGACAGCAACTACTTCTGATAAGCAGTAAATGACAAGTTTAGTAAGATTAATGACAAGTTCAGTGAGTTGAACCCCTTGTACAAGGAAACTAATTACGAGCTATACCTCATGCAATCTTGAGTCTTACATTCCATCATAAAGTTGACTTCCCTTCCTCATTCACATGCAATGAATCATCCAAGCTTTCATTCTTTAAGGAGGAGTAGATTATGAACTTGTCACCATCAAATTGAAATGTATTTCCTAATCTAACCATAGTCCTCAAAGAATTTCTTGACACCTTGTTCCATTTGGAAGAATTGTCCTGTACGCAAGACAAAATCCAATATGATCTTGGTATGTTTTCTGGGGATGTACACAAAAAAAAGTTCAAACTATATATAAAAAGACACATACACATTAAAATAGCCTTTGACTTTCTCCATGAAACTGATAAATTGACTAATGAAAGTTAATCATGAATTTCCATTTCTTGATTTCCTCCATAACTACCTGACTCACAAAGACAATACCAAAGACAAAGTAAAGAAAGAAGGAGGAATTCAAAATGAGTGTAAGCAAGGATAAGGTATAAGTATCTTCAAGTTTTTGGTATAGTTTTCATAAGTTATGGTAAGATAATTATTAGATATGTATAAAGCCCTGTTTTAGACAGTAGAAAAACATAATGAATTGATAATGTTCTGATATATCCAAGGTGATAAAAGATGAATCAAATAATGTTGCAGATTTGGTACTTAGTTCAAGCAGGGGCAAAATATCACACTCTGTAAGCATTACACATAATCTTAAACAAGCATAAAACAATGCTCCAACATGCTTTGCTACACTGTTCCTTCTCTCTCCGAGACAAGGAATAATAATTTCAAAGTAGATTTTCTATTCAAAATCCAACAAACCATCGCAATATTATTTTGTTACACGAGAGATAATAGTACAAGCTGAAAGTTTACCAAATATTCTAAGGTACAGATCCTTCTTCGCTGCACCAGGTTTGTGGCTATGGAAGGTGGAAATGGAGATAGGGTTTTGAGCTATGGTGGAAGAATCAGAACATAGCAACGCCTTTCTCTCCCTCTAAATTCTGAAGTGAGAGACGTGGTTGAGGTGAGGACTAGAGTGCAATGCTTTGATCTTGATTCAGCAGCAGCAAAGAGAAGGACAAAGAGAGAGAGAGCAAGAGAAGAAAGAAAAAGAGGGAGGGGATGAGACGGAAGGAAGAGAAAGGGAATGGCATTTTTGACTTTTCTCCTACATTTCATAATTGCAATTTAGGACCCGATCTCTGATAGCTATTTTGTGAATTGAAGTACCCAAATTGCCATTTTATATTTTCGAAGGTCTTTATTTGCCATTTTCCCAAAACTATATGTCAGTCAAACATTGTCGAAGGGAGGAAAATGATGCAACCAATTGTATAGTACTACCTCTTCTGGTTTTTAATATAATACCTCATTTAATTTTTATTTTCATTCTAAATATAAAACTCTAATCCACTTTATTTTTTATATTTATCTATTTTTTAAGGGTAATTTTTTTAATAGTAATAGTTCTAACTAATATACTTGATTAGTAAGAATATTTTAAGAAATACTATACATATTTATTATAAATAACTAATTTAACTTATTTTTTTAATGTACTTAAATTAATCAATTAGTTTTTATATTTAGTACCGGAGACCTGAAAGGTTACCTTCACTGATGACCTGAAGCTAACCTAGGTAATACGGACGTAGGAGAGTGTGGATAAAACCTATAAAATCAAAAGGTTGAATAAGAAGACGACGACAATTGGCTCTTATTTTTTGTGTCATCCTTGTCCCTTGCCGTGGAATTCTTGCGGTTCGGGCCGGCTGTTGGATTGCAAATGCTACTATTTCAGGGCTTTATATAAATGCCGCAATTATAGAAGGACGGAGATCTTAATCATATTAATTAACGCCTGGTATTCATGATATATAAAATTTTGACTTTTATTTTTTTAAAAATCAGGATGGAGGGCATAAAACACTTTAGATTTATAATTAAGAAAATGACTCAAATGGGTAATTAAATTTGAGTCTATCTTTGAAAGTGATGAATTCTGGGTTGGCCTTTTGCCTAACTTGTTAAGCTGTGAGTTATATCAACCCACACCACCTGATCTAATAGTTGTGGTGGGTCAATGTATAATTCATGAGTTCTGAGCTCAATCCCATACGACCCTTCGCTAGGAGGATCTGCACCTAAATTAAAAAAAAAAAAACTACATCCAGTTTTTAATATAGAAATTAGTTAAAAATTTAATTTAGTTCTAAATATAAGATATCAAGTCTATATTAATAATTTATTTTTTAAAGTATTCCTATTAATTATATATATTAAACGAATTTTCATTTAAGAGTAATCAAGATTAAAACGATATTTTAAAAAAATTAAGTTAAAAATAACTAGCTTTTTTAATATACCTAAATTAGTTAAGTAGTTTTTATATTAAGGATCATGTAATATTTAGGTTGTGTGACAATCAAGAGTGTAGGAGTTTAATTAGAAAAATTCCTACCTTTTTTTGACCAGGAGACACTTTTCCTATCTTCCAAGCGACAGCCAATCGATTTCATGTTGTACATTTATGCTGATTGTTAAAAATAAAATCTATGACATGTATTTGTTTTTTTAAAATATATCTTAATTGATTGTTGAAGTATCTTTATTAATTTAAACATACAAAATATATGTTCAAAACAAGAAAAATTTACTCATGAATCCCAATAAAAAATTAAATGCCAAAAGATCCCCCAGAAATTTTTAAAATAAGTTAGACTTATAAGTATAAAATTTTGACTTTTAAGCGGAGTTTGTTAAATTTGATTTGTAAATCACGCAACTTGAATTGAAAACCTATAAACATAACTTGTAAATATGAACTTTTTGGTACCTATCTGTATCTAATTTTCTTACTTGAGACTCATATAATTTTTAATAAAAGCAGAAAATTATTGTATTTTTATTAACTTAGATTAAAATGGAATGGACTTTTCCAAGCAAATTTCCTCAGAATAAATTTTTTTAGTTGATTTAAATATCATATTTGTTGTCTTAAAACAATTATGATTTCTTTTCACAAAAAATATCATTTGCGATGATTCATAAGAAATAAATAAAAAAAATTCCAAAATAAATTTTCTAGAGTAATCTAAAAATTACGGACGAGCCCAATTTTGAGTAACTATTTTTAAAATAATCTTCTATATGTTTCATAAAATTAGTTGTTTTTTTCTTTTCCAAACGTCGTTCAATTACTCCTCAACTGTATTTTTGCCTCTTTCATTTGGGCACATCGTCGAATATGAAATGTGCACTTTTTCTACGTGAGAGATCGTTGGGCTCCGATCCAGAGCGAGCTTAGGTAATAAAGTGCCGCCAACTACCAATATGCGTCTCTCCGCGGTTATTTTTAATGAATACGAAATCGAATGAGCTGTTTGTTGATTTTATCTGAGAAGAGTGATGATTTGGCTTGCCTATAAATGGAAATGAAATCTCGATTATCTCTTCTTCTACACTTAGATTTCAACGAATGCTTCCTTCTTAGCAACCACCTCCCTTGACCAATTCACTTTGCTCTCTAGTCTCTCTCTTCTTCTTTCATCGCTAATTCTCAGAGACGAAGGCATTCCCTTCCAGGTTAGTCTTCGCAGCAATGGTGTTTGATTGTCCGTGACAGTCTGTCTTATCGGAATTTGAATTTCTTAGTTTTTGTCACTGTTATTACTGAATGTCGCGAACTCAAAGTTAGTTCAATTTTCTATTTGTTTTTTTTTTCATTTGTGATATAGGAGTATTTGTTTTCTTCTTGTGCGCCCTCTGTGTTCGTTGAATTGTCTGTCGTCTGAGCTTGTTTTCAAGTTTCACAGTGGAAAATTCTTTCGCAGCTCTTGCCGAGCTGTAAATTATTTTAGTAGTTTTTTTTTTCTTTTTAAATTCGCGCTGTTTTTGAAATAATTACTCTCAGTGACGTGATTGTAATTTTGTACTCTACGTTGTCGTTGCTCGATGGAATATTTCTCTCTGTTTCTTATCGATGATGCAAAGATCATATTTCAGATACAACTTCTTCACGTGTTGAGTGCTTGTGCAGTTGTGCTTCTTCAGCTGAAAATGGGGCAAAGGCGTGTTATGGTGCCAGTGGAACAGGTTGACTTATCCACAGTCAAATATGAACAAGAGAGCATCCAAGGTCATTGAATCTCGTGTTCTATTGAATTTACGATTTAGTTCAACGATAATATGATGTGAAGGAAGAGCTGATGAATTGGATATTCTGCTCATACTCGTTAGCATTTTGTTTGTTTGTTTTGCAGCTCCACACTTGACTGGATTCCTGTTTAGGTTCTTTGTTCGGGTGGTTGAAACACCACTGATAGGGCCTTCGATAATATCTATATTGAAGAAGTCGAATAAGATCGATGAGGTTGTTTTTTTTTTTGTGGCTCCAAATAGGTGTTCCATGTTCATGCTTTTCATTTGCTGGGTTTAAACTTTGAAGTTTCACCAAGGGGACTACGGTTTATGAGTAAAGTGAGCATGACAGTTTCGAAGAGTATTGACTAAATGTTTTGCTTATTTGTAATCAATAGCTGTTGCGCAACACTGTGATACCGGAAGAACCCATGTTCAAACCTGAATATCCACCTCAAGGTAGCTTCTTCTGCATGTTTGTAATTGATGTTAATTCGCAGAGCATATAGGAAATCAGTTTCATTTTCCTTTCATTATGTAGCTTCATAGTTTTTGAGAGAACTATATACCGATGGCAAATCAGAGAAAAGTGCCACGAATAACTTCTTCAAATCATTTGCATTGGATTGGAGAGGTATGTTTTATACCTTCATCTAATACTATGACCTAATTTCAGAAAAGGAGCCTGGTGTTGTCATTCTTGATGAAGATGGGAGACCTGAAGATCGAGTTGAAGCTGCCTTGAATTGTCTTCCGCATTATGACCCTGCTGCATGCTGGGGGAGTTCCTCTTTGCCCTTTCGGTACTGGAAAATACGTGATTATGCTTATGCATATCGATCAGGAAAAGTAACGCCATCTATGGTTAGTAGCATTCACTTGCTGAGAACTTCATTTTTATTTTATTCATTTATAACTATATGGCAAAAAAAAAAAAAAAAAAATTCTGCTTTGGATATATAGGTTGCGGAGAACATCATTTCGGTTATAGAGGAAATCAGTGCTAAGAAACCCCGGGAACCACTACTGATCTCTTTTGATGCTGAGGAAGTCAGGAGACAGGCATCTGCATCTACCCACAGATTTGAAGCAGGTATTACTATTTGGTTCTGATACAGATGATGTTGCAGTAGTATCCTTTAAGCATGATCATGTTGACATATGATGGAATCAATAATGCGATCACCTAACTCACCTCTTCGACCTTTATCTGATTGCATAGGAAATCCATTATCTATTTTGGATGGAATTTTCATGGCCATTAAGGATGACATAGATTGCTACCCCCATCCATCTAAGGGTAAGTTAATATTTCTTCTAGTGAATAATTATTATAAAAAATATTAATATTATTTCATGGTGTTGATAGGTGCTACTACATGGATGCATGAAGTTCGCTCTGTTAAGACGGATGCCGTTTGTGTTTCAAGGCTTCGTGGCTGTGGTGTCATATTTGTGGGGAAGGCAAATATGCATGAGTTGGGCATGGGAACGACAGGGAATAATCCTAATTATGGGTGAGACTTTATCTAAGGTGATTTATGATTAGCTTAAGTATGTATGCCATCTCAACATCAAAATTTGATCTTTTACCATGACGAAAACTCAGATTACTCTAGGGACTGTAGAAAAACTCAGATAACTCTAGAGACTGTTCAGTCTAATTCTTGCAAATTTATGACAAAGTCTTGAAATGTCTCTGCTAGCATTATTTGAAATGCAATTGGCATCTCGGCGTAACTCAATCATTCTTCTGCTCGATCAGGCAAAGAAGTAATTAAGTTAAGATGCCAAATGCTTGAGTTCTGTTATTCTTTTGTTCCATTAGGAGTTGGAGAATAAAATGCATGTATAATGTAACTGATCACCTAGATAAATAGAAGTTATAATTTTTTCCAATTAAAAATTTGATGGTGGCTAAGCTTAAATTAGTGTAGGATTTTCTGTTTATCTTGTGAAAATTACATTTTCCATAATTGCCAGCTTTAAGGAAATTGTGTTTTATACGTTCCCTAGGCATCATGTTCACTCTCCTCACTGTCAAATACATCAATGCTTTATACTAGAAAAGGTACAAAATACAAGATGGCAAAGAAAATAAATCAAAGGTATCAATGACTTTAATTCTAATTTTAATGTTAGTTATTAGTAATTTTCTCATTTTGTATATTTGTAACAACAATAATAACAAGCTTTATCCCACTAAGTGTGTTCGGCTACATGGATCACACAATGGCATTGTGGTGTTTGGTCTACTCATAGTTTCATCTTCTTCTTAAAAGATTTAATCATGATGGTTTGTCTTTCAATTCAATTTTCTCGAAGTGCAGAACTACAAGAAATCCTCATGCACCTGATAGGTACACTGGTGGATCTTCTTCAGGTCCTGCTGCAATTGTAGCTTCTGGACTATGTTCTGCAGCCCTGGGAACTGATGGTGGAGGTTGTGGAAATACAGCATGTGAAATTGAATTTTTTTTTTTTTAATCCCCATTTTTCCATGTGCTGATTTTAATGTTTGGAAATGGATGAGAAAGGCAGGTTCAGTCCGCATTCCTTCTTCCCTTTGTGGTGTAGTGGGGTTAAAGACAACATATGGACGTACAGACATGAAAGGGTAATTTCTGACCCCATGTGATGGATCATATGACATCATTTTCCAATATGAAAGGTTTATGGTTTAATAATACATTTTAATCCATAGTAAGGACTATTAAAATCTTTAATTTTATTTAGGAATGTGGGTGAAAATACTTGTTTGGACTATGATACTCAATAAATTAGCATGAATAATCTTCTGGAGACAATTGGGTTTTAAAAAGCTATTTCTCGGATGTGTTATGAGATTTTGGAGGTCAGAAATAAACAATCTTGTTATACACTGTGAAGTTGTCTCAGTTGTGGAATAGACTTGTTGGCAATTTTATTAAGCAAGAAGTTTGTCCAGCGTTCTTAGATAACTTTTTTATCAGGTTTGGAGGTTATGGTAGCAATAAGAAATGTAAGAGTAAGATCTTTGAAGATTTGATGTTTATGCAGGCTTGTGGGGTTTATGGACAGAACAAAATTCAGGAAATTTTAGTAAGAGGTTTCTCCCATTGCTCTGTTAATGGAATAGAGTAGTCTATTTTTCTGAACTTCTCTGGGTTTGAGGTCATGATTTATTTGAGGGGATCCTCTGGATTGGAGAGCTCCGGTGTTTATCTCTGCTTTTTTTCCCCTTGTATATTTGTTATAGAAGGATGATTTTCTCCCATTGCACATGCTACTCTTTCATTTGATAAAATGTTTCTTATCGCTAAGAATATTTTCTTACATCCCATAAAAATAGAGAAGATTTTCTTGCAGAATATTTATATCTCTTGTGACTTTTGGTCATAGAGGGGAATGAGATGTGGTACTGGTGTACTGATGTGCTTCAATATAGTATCTGATCGATCCATGTAGAGTATATAGCAGAAAGAAGAAAGAGAAAAAAGAAGAAAAAAAGGTCGGGGGAAGTGAGAGGAATGATAAGGTCTCACACCATGAGATGTTCCTCGCATAATTAACTTCACATGGTACACGGTTATGAGGGAGGAATAGAAAAGACAGAGAAATGCTATTAACTGGGTTTAAGAGCTAGAAGGTAGAGTGAAAGGTGAAGGAACAAATTATTTCGCTTGAGAGTCTCTACCCTCTCGAATGCAGAAAATTTTGTTTTTCTTTCTACTTTTGTTTTGTATCTATGTAAACGTCCAGGACTGTCAAAATCATTTATTTCTTGCTGTTAAATAGAAATTGCATCTCATTATACATAGAATGAGAATTCCCCGAAGTTTCCTCTGTCTCTAAGAACTAATAAAATATTATTATGGAAGGCTGTAATTTGTGACTATATTTGAAATTTCAACTCTTCTTGCAGGTCATTATGTGATTCCGGGACTGTGGAAATTATTGGACCCATTGCTTCAACAGTTGAGGATGTCATGCTAGTGTGCGTAATTCATATTTCTGTCTCTCTGTCTTTTGACGATCTCTTCATTTGACTTGATGGCTTCTGGTTTGCATTACTTGAAATCAAGCTAATTTTCCTCTTTCCTCTATTTATGTTAAAATTTTTTGTATAATTTCCCTCACTTTCCATAAATTATTTTGCTGCTATCCTTTTTAGCACCCAAAACATCCAAGAAATGGTACGGTTCATAAATTTGCAAAATTTTCTTAGTAACATAACATGTACATGCAAATATACTTTGAAAGCTGCATGCATACATATCTATTTTCTAGATTTTCTATATCATTAATGACTTCTGCACGTGGTAAGTAGATTTTTTTCTCCAATCTAAGGATCAAATGAGTTAGCTGACCAAAGTGTGATGCCCTTTTCTTGTTTTCCATTATGAACACTTCAATGATATCAAGACTAGAGTTTATGCATATGTCACTCCAATTGTTTGGTACAGCATCTCAATTGTTTTTGTGAAGAACCAAAATCCTGATCATGATGTCATCCTATTTTAACATTATATGCCTAACCCTGGAGTTCTTGCTCAGTCCAAAAAAAAAAAAAGAAAAAGGCCTGGAGCTCTTGCATGTAGATAATTTTTACTTTATTAATAATCATTGATCAGGTATGCAGCAATGTTGGGTTCATCACTTGCGACCAAAATCAGGATGAGACCGGTAATTAATCTTTAAACCTTTGATTTACGTTCTTAAAAAATAAGTATAGAAGACTGAGATTTAACATGGAACTTCAAATTGTAGATTTCATAGGGTTTAAGTACATGACAGTAAATTAAACAGCCCAAAAGCTAGCTTAAGTCTATGTGGAGCCATATATTCTTGGTATAGAAGTGGAGAGTGGGAAGGAGACACTTTTTAAAAGACATATATTGGCTAGTGTTTGCAATCCAACAAAGGACATAACGGTTTTCATGTGAAAACTATCCTGGTCAACGAGAAATGTGATCATGTATTAGAAGTTAAAATTATAGCAAAGCTGTTCTTGTCATTTTCTATTTGATATCAAGCTGTGCAATATTTTTTCTGTAATGATTATTTGTTTTTCGTTTTTTGTTTGTTTTGGAAGTCACCACCGTGTTTGCCAAACTTGTTATCCTATGATGATTCGAATACTTTGGGATCATTGCGACTAGGAAAGTACACTCCGGTAATCACCTGATCCTTTAAGAATTGATTGTATTTCTGATATAATATGATATATTTTCTTGAAAATAATATTTTTTAATTCCTGCGCAGTGGTTTAATGATGTGCATTCAACAGAAATCTCTGATAAGTGTGAGGATGCTCTTAATCTGCTATCAAAATACCATGGTTGTGAAGTAAGTTTATGGCCAGTATCATATGATTGTATTAAAATTTATTTTCTTGTTGAAAAGAGAGAGCAAGTTTTAGGTTTAGCATGAAAGAGTCAAACAATGCTGAATTCTGTTTTTATCTTCTCACCTATGAAGACAATAGAGATTGTTGTACCAGAGCTTCATGAGATGCGCACTGCCCATGTTGTTTCCATTGGCTCTGAGTGCATAGCATCACTAAACCCTGATTGTCTGGACGGGTATGTTTTTGGGTATTTTGAAGCTTAAAGCTAGTAATCTTATATTTTCTCTGATTGTAACAAGGCATTATGGCTTATTTGTTGTTTGGATGAATCTTCTCATTTGTTGTTGAAAGCACTCAAAACTGGAAACTCTCAATATCTAGCCATGCGCACGCGCGCGCATATCATGTTCATTTTAATTTTTCTGTTGTAGGAAAGGTACAAAGCTGACATATGATACCCGTACAAGTGTCGCGCTTTTCCGATCATTTACAGCAGGAGACTATGTTGCAGCCCAGTGTCTCAGGTGATGCGAGAGAGATATTTATGAAGCTTCAACTTCAAATTATGCATCACTTTTCAATGATATGGAAAAATCATGTGCTGCCACTGTTAGAAGTATTTCTCACGTAGATTCTTTAATATAATTTAAACTATGTAGCTTCTAATCCTCTTTTCCATTTCAGACGAAGGCTCATGTATTACCATATGGAGATTTTCAAGAAAGTGGATGTTATTGTGACTCCAACAACAGGGTATGTACATATAACAAACAATTGTGATAGAAGTACAATCTATTGTGATGGACCTTCAACTTGCTACGAAATTGAGTTGAATCAATTTAGCATTCATGTGTTCTTTTACTTTCTAACGGCAATTTGGAACATACCGCCTTGGTCCTTCTTCTCCCTGCAAAGAGAACTGGGTTCTCTAATTGTTCACCTCTTATGGAGCTCATGCCATCATGTATTATGTAACAAGGAATGACACTTAAAATAACTTATAACATTAACAGTTAAGAACTTTAATAGCTAAAATCTTTTCTGAAGACTAAAAATAAATTCTCATTATTTCTTAAAGTTACAACTGATACTCTCTAAAATTTTAACCTAATATCCTTGACGTTGCAAGGTGCTTTGGATTTTTGACTACTACTGGATGAAAATACTTTGTAACATTGGAAAAATTAGGTTGTAATTTTAGAGGGTATGAGTCGAAATTTCAAGAAGCACCGATAGTAACTAATTTCTATTATTTTTGAGAGACATTCTAATTATTAAGGTCTTTTACTACAATATTGAATTGTAAGTGACCCCCTTATAGAATTTACGATTACAACTGAAGAAGGCATAGGCAGCGTTGTGGGGCTCTGGAAATTGAGTATCATTGTTACGAAGAATCATAAATACTTACTGACCAAATCAAACTTCTAATTATTTTTGGGATTAAGGCTTAGTTTTTTTGTTGATGCTGGAATTATATATCCTCCAGAAACAGAAACTAAATTACTTTTTATTTTCCTGACAGCATGACGGCACCTAAAATACCACCTAGTGCTCTCAAAAGTGGCGAGACAGATATTCCAGTTACAGGTGATTTTATATTCGGCTTCAGTGCTGCATCTAATTATTCTTGCCTCTAGCCACATGTTCATTCGAGGATTGGCTTTCAGGTTATCTTATGCGTTTTGTCATCACTGCAAATCTTCTTGGGTTCCCTGCAATTACTATACCTGTGAGTGAGAGTGAAGTGAATTACTAAAAGAGACTATTTCTTCTTCACTGTTTATTCTTTTGGTGTAAAAAGTATATGATTATTGCTTATATTCTGTAATTCTGTTTCCCCTCTTTATTTAACGTGTTCAATGTTTAGATTGGTTACGATAAAGAAGGACTTCCAATAGGTTTGCAACTAATAGGTCGACCATGGGGGGAAGCAACAATTCTGCGTCTAGCTTCTGCCGTCGAGGTACGTACTCTGTTATGCATAACATGATATGGTGCTAATGGGGTCACGAATAATTTCATGGCGAGCCCGACTTTTAATGTTAAGCTTTTTATCATTAAAGATATTGAGATGAGATTCTGACCTTACTGTAAGGGGGAAATAATACTTAAGGGACTGCAACTCATAACGTTAACTGTTAGAATCGTAAAAATTAAAATTTTTTCGAAGACCGGAGAAACAAGTTACAATTAGTGCTTCTTAAATCTACCATTCATACTCTAAACATGTCATAACATTAATAATCATCAACTGTCATTTTCTATAAGTGCTAATAGCAGCTTATTTCTATGACATTTTGAGAGGATTTTACTTTTAAAATTTGGCACTGTCAATAGTATAACTTGAGTCCTCAAGTATCATTTTTAGTAGTATAGAGATCAGTGTGAGAATCTCAATATATGTAGTTGGGAAAAAAGCTCAATTTCTTGGCCACCGCGTAGTTTCCCGTTGCGTGCAATATAGGTCAATCTGTTTCTCTGTTTAATGCGCACAGAAACTCTGCGGGGAGATGAAGAAGAAACCTGTACAATACTATGATGTTCTGAGAGCAAACTGAAGCTGCGTTTATCAAAGCTAAAGCTTCTGCAGTCTCCGTTATTTGTGAGTTATTATATGCACAGTATGTTTGATTCTCTGGACATCTCATTTCTTCGGATGATACTCTTGATTGCATGAACATTATTCCCAGGAAATATGTTCTGCAGGTAGTAATTGTAATAATTTCAAGACAAAACATGGATCTTGACATATCCGAAGGAAAAAAAAAAAAAAATCATATTCTTCCTGGGTACTGTTAAATATGCTTCAATAATTGTTCTGTGCTTCATACAGTTATCAATTCAGTGTCTCATTGGTATAAGTAGAAAGATAGGTACCTGGTGCATGTGATAATACATAAGTTGATAGGAGTATCATGGAGACTTGGTCAGTTCTCCACACGGGTAGCTAAGTGGAATGAGATACTATATCCATATCCAAAAGCTAGCTTACAAGGTAAGAGAACTAGCCCCTTTACCTATCAAGCATCTCATAGACTCGTACTAAATGAGATTTAAGCATTTAGCATTCCATGCTTGAAATATTACTCAATGTGGGAGTTAGTGTCTCATATTTGAGCTAAGTCCCCATTGGAGTATCTTTTGCTTTGATTGTTAATTGTGTTTAGAAAGTTTCTCCCTCCGATTCTAAATACCTAAGTTAGATAATTAATTTATAGATTTCAAAAAAAATAGTTAAGTTAGTTATTTGTAATAAATGTGTTGATTTTCCTAAATTACCCTTTTTAATCATTATTCATATTGATAGAAATTTCCTTTAATATATGCTATTAATAAAGAGTTTGGGAAGAAATTTATAGATTTGGGAGATAAAGTGGATGATGTTTTTATATGTAGGATCACCAATTAACTCTTATATTTAGGATTGGAGGGAGTAATAAAAACAATGATAAAATGAAAAAGAAATTGTCCTTAACTTAGAGAGTTGTTTAATTTATTCCTTTTTTTAAGTTGATTATATCTTCTTTAAAATTGACTAATGACACTAAACTCTCATAAATTGTTACCCATTTGATACTTTTTTTTGGGGTCTAAAGTCCCGCTTCGTGTAGACAGGAAAAAGTAGTTAACAAAGAAAAAAATTATCTTAATTGATTAAATAAATATTTTTTTTCTGTTGCTAAATGTTATTTCGATGTCTTTAAAGGGTAAATACTTTTGTTAGTTAGCTTACAAGTAAAAGATTAAGATGACGGAAGAATTATGTGGTACAAAATTATGAGGCATAACAAGGTTTGAAGCTAAATATCTCTATTAAGCCAGCTTAGTGATGTCTTTTAGAAAAGAAATGTTCGGCTGAAGCATCTAGGTGGCATCTAAAATCAATTTAATTATTAGATAAACTTGATATGTTTAAATTTTGAAATGACAAATATTTACAATTGAAAATAATTTAATTGGTGTTGTATTTTTTTCTTTCCCGGTTTTAAGTCATGCTTTCGACTTACCAATTGAAGCATTGAGAATATTTACATTCCAATTTACGTGTAATATAAAATTGAATTTGAAAAAACATTACTCCCTCCGTTCCTTATTATAAGAGACGAATAACCGAATTACGTTGATAAAAAAAGCAGTTAAAATTAGTTAAGAACAATCAATGTGTAAAAAATATAATTTTTTTCCCAAAAATGCCCTCATTAATAAGGAGAGAGAGTATGAGAGAGAACAATTAAATTATTGAAAGAAAGAGAAGTGAGAGGGAGAGAGTGTGTGAATTTGAGACAATAAATATGGGTAAAATAGGAAATCAACACAAAAAAATAGAGACAACTTTTAAAGTGTCTCTTATATATAGGAATATGCCATAAACACCAAATGTCTCTTATAATAAGAAACGAAGGGAGTAATAAATAAAGTCTTGGGTATGAAATTAATTTAAAATTTTTAGACTTAATTTTATAAAATTCAGGGGGCTAGTGTCTAACACCACACACGGGGTAAGAAATTCAGTCCCCATCATTATGTGTCTAAAAAATTGTGTTACGGATCTAGTTTATACGTTAAATTAAATTAAATCAGAAATTAAATCTTATACTAAAAATTGAGGGTAGTACTTCGCATTAAATCCAATAAATATATGCAACTTATGGCTTAAAAATGTGCTCCATCTGCCAATTATCTGTTTACAAAATTTATGAAAATTAATTGATGTATTTAAAAGGGAAAGTCAAGGGAAAATTCCTCATTAAAAATTTTATCCATAAATAAAATTTGTAGGGCATCAGTACTCTCGCTGTATAAAATCTTATTAAATCCTTCCAACCAATAAAATTCTTGACTGGAAGACTTTGAAAAAAAAACTTTTCCTAAATTACTTCATCTTTTTAATAAATTCAATTTAAAAAATTAAAAAAATGGTGTTAAAAACTTTTAATTGAATTTTATTATTCTTTTATGCTACATTTTCTTATTACTAAAATTTTAAAATCCTATTTCTCCAATTTTTTAAATTGAGCTCATTAAAATTTTTTCTTCTTTCCCCTCTCCTCCATTTCCCTCCTCCCAAATATAGGGTTAGAAAAGAAATACTAATTTTAGAAAAATATTAATTACTGCTTAATTTTTGCAAACCATCATTTTTTATAAACAAGAACACAAAACATGGAAGGATTTTTTTTTTTTTTTGGGTTTTAACAGCCAAAAGATCTATAATAGTCCCAGCACAAAATTAACCATGATTTTTCCCTTGTAAAAAAAAAAAAAAAGCTGATTTGTCGGCTCAAGATGAAAATATCATAGCATAAATGGAGTACTTGAGGCCTATTCAGAAACTCAACGTCTCAATGGCCTAAAGTAAACCTAATAGGAGGAGAAGAAGAACTAGACCCTTATCTCTGTTCGTTCTTCTCATCAGCAACATCACTAGGGAGATCCCGTCCAGAAGGCATGTTGCCTGGATAGTTAGTTGTTGATGCATGCGAACCTGTCATGCTGGAAGCAGAAAGAATTTAATTTAATTTTGGAAAATCCTGATTGATTAATGATGAAAGCAGCTTCGTCAATTTGTTAAGAAGTTGTACCCTCACCTTCTATCCACAATGACCATGGAGCGAAGCTCACAATTGGCAAAACTGCAAACGCATATGAAGAAATAGTCAGCCACACGCTTCATTCATAGGAACGAAAATTATCACAATCATGATAACTTTCGTTACAGACTGTAAAAGTTCAGTTTCTCTCTGGTTCCCCCCCCCCCAAAAATCACAGTGGCAAGTTCAAAACTTGAAAACTAGACTACGAAGAAACACGAAAGGGTTGGCAAACTCCAGAATAATCCGCTCTATTTTTAGTACAATTAAGGAATCTATTTGTCTGAGAAATTCCAAGTACATGTGGTCCGCAAAAGATAGTAAATCCAAATTAATTATATAGATGGATAAGCATGAGACACAGGATGATCACTTAGATGGTCAGGTCTAGTTTTGCCTAAAGCATGTCCAGATCTATTTGACAACCTCTTCTATTTTCTTCACAAATGTACGGGAAATTATGGAGATAAGTGCATTAATCAGCCCAAAAAGAAACCACTTAGATGCTTCACAGGGAAAATTCACATGCAATATATGTTGAAGAGGTGAGAATCGCAAATAAATTTTCCAAGATTGAGGAATCAATAAGCTTACTGCTTGCATATTTCCTTCTTCACGACGGGATGGCAGTCATTTCCAAAATATGTATTTAGAGTATGAAACAAGAATCCACTATGCGTCACTACAGCTATCTCCTTCTCCTTGCGTGTCAACAACCTGTGATTGCGTGGAAAACTTCGATTACAAAGCATTTCATGGAAGTTTCTACTCTCTGACTGATAGATTCAAGAGCAGTCGCAAGAAAAAAGGATATACAAAATTGATTCCCCCCCCCCCCCCCCCCAAAAAAAAAAAAGGCACATTCAAATGGTTAGTATTGGCTGTTGAAACAAATGCCATTACTTTGGTTCAACGTTAACAAAGTAATCATGTTATTTCTCACAATTCTGAGATCAAGATAATTTCTTAATTATTAAGTGACCAACTCCAACAAAGAAATGAACTTCTCATTCAACTCAAAAGCTCATAAGGAAGTTTAACTTTAAGCAGCTTGGATTTTGATTACACTCAGAAGCTCCATTAAAATTTGGCATGACAACCAACAGATATTACAAGACTTAAGTGGATCTTAATCCTGCACATCTAGTAGAACTACGTTATATCTGGGTAGAACCTTGAAAAATAGAAAAAAGAAAAAGTAATTCACAGACGTAGCTATCACTTTCTTAAGCTTTATATGGTCCCAATATAATGGAGAATCAAGAGAACTAATTCATAATTTCATACCAATTCATGAATTCAAAACCCCTTTGTGCAAGTTCTTCCTTTGTCTCCCTAACGTCGGCCTTCCACGACGTATCCTCATTACTATCTATCTGAAGAGAAAATTCAGAGGGATTGGCATAAACCCAAAGAAAGCAATAAAATTAGCCTGATTTTAAACTGCTTAAGGCGGCTCTCAAGCATCTGTTAATATTTTAAAATGCCATCTTTGATTTGCAAGAAATGTAATACTTGCCAGTGAGAAATCAACTGCAGGGAAAGCAAACTCATATTCGCTGATGCTTCTTCTTTTGTCACAGGGATGAACTCCCTGCAAAGCAAACACATGAAGAACTAAGCAAGGGCTCTCATGTCAATGTATGCATTAAGCTTTAGAAAACTTGTATAAAAGGTATGTTGAAATAATTTTTACTCGGCAAAAAGTAAACCTCTGGCAATTTCATATAAGAGATGAGAAACTGATGAAGCAAATGCATCTCTTTCAATAATTTATACATAACTGATTTTATTTTCTTGCATATGATTTCTACTTCATTTTTGTTACCTTAATATCATTCAATGGCCTGTGAAAATTTTTGGTGTAGCGCTCAATATTCGCAGGTCAGACCATTGGGCTAAATTATGATTCGACTGTGATATAAAAAACCCATCAACATAAAAGTAATAATCTTCAAATTATTCCACTAAACTGCCCCGTGTTTTTGTTTCAATCACGAGATAAAATACAAAACAAACTGCTATCGCTTTATTTAATGAAAAAAGAGAAGTGGATCCAGATGTTTTGGCGATACTGGAATTAAATTCATCCTTGGAGATCAAGAAATTAAGTATTTACTCGAAGCTAATTCTAGAACTTTCCAGTGCATGGTAGTAGACAAATTATCGTGGTGATTATCTTTTCTCCTTAACATTTTTCTTTACCAAGACAGTGCCCACATGATGAGTTCAAATTGCAAAATTACCCA